CCTTGTTGATGGTATTAGTGCGAGTTGTGAAAAACATTGTTGCATATTGACTTTTCCTTTTTCCCTCGATATCCTTACGTATTGACTTAATTCTATCTAGTCATAATTCTTACTAATATTTATTTGCATTCAGTGTTATTTATTTCCATATAAACGTGACTAGATAATAATGATTAGAAAACATCTCCTCGTGAGCTCCGCCAAAGACAAAAGAGGCGACCTTCTTTCTCGAACTCAAACTTCTCGATTTTGCTTTCCGGTGGCCGGCGGCTCTTTTAGCGCCGGGCACGGACCCCTCTCTTTCTTGTTTAGCGCTAGATAGATCTTTTATGCTTTGTTTCTTTTGTGTTGGTCCTCGCCTGGTATTGGATGATAGGGAAGAAGGCATTTGTCAGTAATAGTGATTTGTGGAGGTGGATCCGCGGTTTTGGTGACCGTCGGAGCTTGGGTCATCTCTCCTTGGTGGCTCTTTCACCTTTGCTTTTTCTCCTTCGTTCTTGTTTGGATCTCCGGTTTGCTCCCTCCTCAGATCTGCTCGGCGATTGGGTTTCTCGGATTGTTTGGGTTCCCTTTTGCGGTCCCTCAACGGTCTTGGTTTGACCGGACAAAGGTGAAGTCTCTTCAGATCTTCTTTCTGGCTCGGTTCCTTGAGAGACTCTTGGTATCTGCTCTCCTTTCCTTTGCTTGGTATTTCAGAGTTGTTCTTTTGGCTGAGATAGGGTTCTTTTGGTTAGGTAAAAGTTTTTATTTATTGCACCTAGGCTCTTTAGTGGTCTATGCGTTTGTTTGCTTTTGAGGTTGGCTTGATTCTTTTGTTTGGGCTCGGAGATCATGGTATATTTGCGTGCGCCATTGCCTTCTCAAGATCCCGGTTATCCTGGTATGATCACTTTAGTGTTGGTTCTTTGCTCTGTTTTCATTACCGCCCGCGTTCTTCTCCGCCTCTGCTGTTGCCGGTTAAGTTGGTTCTAGAGCCGCGTTCTGGTCAGCTCTCTGGGTGTGCCTCAAGGTTTAGGTTCTGCTCTAGTTTATGTTTCTTGGCTCAGTTTTGACATTTCCAGGTTTTATGGTTAAGCTTGTGGGACTGTGTTGATGATTCAGTGTTTTGAGCATGGTCGAGAATTATCCTTTTATCTTTATCAGTACCCTTTCTCCTTTGTTTTAGGTTCTAGTGTCATGTATATGTCTCCAGGAAAATTTGTCTTCCGAGCTTTGTTGTTGTAGTGAACTTGTATTAGATCTTGTAGTCCGTCATGTATTCCTCGGGGTTTAATATAATATTCTAGATGAAAAAAAAAGATAATAATGATCTCATGATTCAATTTCCAAAATCAAGCCGATTCGACATTCGACCGAAACGGCCCAACCTTTTAATTAAGGTTCTCGACAAAGTGAATAAACGAGAACATAGTTTCCTGGTTCACTAGGTTTGAAGAAGGGCTTTGAAGCCCGTTTTTATTCAAATCATTTTAATGGGCCACATCAAGACCTTAATTATGTACTTTTTTATATACAACAGACATTTTAATTACTTATCTAATTAGTTTGTTTCAAATTTAATAGACATTTGTTGGTTTCCAATTTTTGATTTTGTTTTCCATTCTCTTACTAATTACCTTTGGTTAGTTTTCCAGATGAAGAAAAAAGAAGCTTATGTTGAGATTAATTAAAAAGAATAAAGAGTTATGTCTCAAAGAATATATACAGAGGAAAGTTGACAAAATATACGTACGAATATGGCAATAAGATATATGTTATAAAATGGAAACAAAAACCGTATCTTATTATATAAAGGAGAATGTGCGCGATGAGAACTTGACACGTAGGCAAAATTCTTAAGCACTAGATCGTGAGATATGTAATTGTTAATTTAGATTGTGACATGTGTCAATATTAACAAAAATATTTAAAAAGAAAATAAGAAATACATTCTAAACAAAGATTATTGACTAATTAAGAAAAAGAAAAACAAAAATCGTTCAACTAAACTATGTAATTTTTCAATATTAACAAAAATAATTAAAATAAAATAAGAAATATATTCTAAACAAAGATTACGGACTAATTAAGAAAAATGAAAAAAAACCGTTCTACTAAAATAGGTGAGATTTCTATATTTTTCTATTACAAAATACATTTTTTCCATTATAAATTTTATCTAAATAGTTAAAGACAAAAAAATGTCATATTGATAAGTGTGATTTTGCTAATATAAACATAACATATAAATATTACATAAGCCATAAAATAAATAAACAATATATATAGAATAAAAATTTCAATTAAAAGAAATATAAAGACGAATGGTATTAAAATTAGAAAAAAGACAAAAATTTATAGACGAATGATAAAAAAGAAGGTATGTAAATTGGAAAAAAAAATTGAAAATATTATAGAAACCTCGATTTAAAAGTTTAAAAATATACACAAACATGCAAAAATAAAATAAAAATAAAATCTATAAGAATACTTATTTTATCAATATAGAATTATAAAATATCACAATGAAAATAGAAATATTCGACATATAATGCCATTGATACTCTTCAAGTGTA